TGTGGCAGAAGATCAAAGAGTCTACAAAGAAATGCGGCTTAAATGCGTCTTAAATGCGGCCTAAATGACATACTTCAACATGATTTGCCTGTCAGAGTCTCTGCCCACTTTATATTTGTTTGCTGTTAACGGTTGTCGTTGTTAATTTCTTGTTAATATATGTACATATGTATATATATGGCCGAAATTAAATTAAGTTTCACTTTCAGTTTGGAGCTACACGTTTTCGTCATATTTTGGCTTATTTTTTCAGCCTGTTGGCGTTTGTAATTGTTAACTAAATGCCGGCTGGTAATTGTTAATTGTGGTTATAATTGTAATTGCAGGAGGGTGAACTCCACAAACACACTCGCACACAGTCTTGAGAGTCATTGCTGCAATTACTTGTTTAATTCGCAAATTAATGTTGTTATGTAATTGCCACAGTCGCGGTTCCGCATGTGGAGAAGTATGTACATAAATATATAAAATATATATACAATTTTCTAGCAAACTCAGAAGCCTCTGTTGCTGGCGTGATAAAACCAAATTAAAGGACATTTTTCAGTGGGAGAGATTTTCTTTTTTTTGGGGTCTCTGTACTTCAATGTCCTCGTTCCACTTTCTACAAATAGTATATGTATAAATATGTACAAATAAGCATGTACTTCCTCGAAGGGAAATGAATAAGCAGCAAGCCAAGGCCAATGAATGAATGACTCAATCAATCAAGAGAAAAAAACTTTAATACATGATTACTTTGTTTCACTGTACTACATATGTCAGAGTTCTTCGTATGGGGTTTCCCTTGTAGACCCCTGGCCACTACACCCACACACACACTATTTTCAAGCCCCTTTTTATGGCCACAAAACGTTGGCTCACACACGCAAAGCTCCAAGTTACACAGGTCAACAAGAACTATGTTTTGTAGATAAAGTATTTGCTAGATAAATTAGCTATTTGTTTGTAAAGCCCTCATCCCGCCCATATCTTAATACCTATTCCCTTGATATAGGTCACGTTTCATTAACATATCAGGTTCCAAGTCTCGAGATGTGAAAAGCAATTAATGCATTTGCAAAGATGTCAGAATAATTAGCTCTATTATTTATAAGATATCCAATTGATAGATAGATAGTATCTATGAATATTTAAGACTTTTGCTAGGGTTCTCAGGAAAATTTACATTTATAAACAAGTTTCTTAGCTGGAGATTAGAATTAATATCTTTAAATTCTTTTAAAGATTATTTATAGAATAACTAGAAAGCTAGCTTCGAGAAGATGAAGTTTATATACCCATGGAGTCTGAAATTAAATGATAGGATCGAGTCGGAAATCGATCAGATCAATATTTATTGATATTTTTGTATGTCAATTTTTTTGGTCAATTCAAATCTTTAAATTCGCATAACTCAGCCAAAAAAGCATTGATTTCAAATCGGAAAGCTTGCCTGTGTTAGCTTTTATTAGGTTTATAAATCTGCATATTCAATAAAAAATTTATTTGTTTTACAATTTTTTGCAATTTTTAACGATGTAACCCCTTATCATTTTGAAAAAAAAATTTTTTAATTTTTTTTGACCGGACATGGCTAGATCGATACTAATTTAAATGCTGATCTGGAATATATGTGAGCTATAGGGTCGGAAATGACTCCTTATGCCTTAAAATTAATTTTAAAGTACAAGGAACGACTTTAATATGATCTCACCCATAAACTTATAAGCCATAACGAACAAGAAAAAAAGAAAACAAACCAATGAACTTGATGAACTCAGCTTTAGGAAAAGTGACAAGCTTTACTTCTATTGTCTAAGGTTAATGCGTAAAACTAGCTTTAAAAAAAAACAGTAACAGCAAAAAACCAAAACAACACCCTTTTATGGATTTCCCCTTTGGCAAAACATTATATGAATCATAATTTTAATAAAATATGGCTTCTCTCCTATTGTTTCCATCTTCAAAATGATAGTATATTCAACTTGGTTTGGTGCTAGAAATTCGATAATTTTTAATTATGTACAAAGTATTAAAGTTCCCCCAAGTTTCCCATTCTAATACCAGTTTAAAGAGGCATAAATGGGCGTGACCCAATTGAATTCAAATGGCCTAGGTGTACTTTTTTTTTGAGCAATTAAACTGGGGCCAATAGAGCGTGTATGTACATAAGTGAATGTCCTGCCGCTGTCCTGTTCCCTAACTTAAGCCCCCGACATGGTAGATGGACACACCCACTTCTTGCATGCCATATGCTCCGCTCCATGGTCCCGTACCGAACTTTGCCCAGTGGGGTATGTAAAATACAAAAAATACAGAAAATAATAATAAAATACAAACGGGGTACGACATGGCGTGTACCTACTACTACTATAAACCTAATCAGTTTAATGACTTTAATAGCTCACTGTCCGAAACGAGTGAAACAAAAAAAAACGAGCCCACTTTCATGAGGAGGAATGCAAGTGGCGGTGTCGTCCACTCTCTAAAAAATATGTAAATACACGTACCCATATATGTACATACTCTAAGCTATATGTGCACTCAATCCCTGCCCCGTTCACTCGATTTTATTTATGTGAATCATGGCAAATGATATCATAACCAATTACGCCAGCAAAAAAGAAAAAACAGCTCAAAAGAACCGGGGTATTGGGGCACTGACTGACTGACTGGTGGTGGTGGAGGAGAACTGCTTCCCGGGGCTGTGGCGTGTTCGGGCTCCGTTGATAAGGCACCGGCTCGCTCACATGGATGGGCATGGACATGGACATAGACATGGGCATGGGCATGGGCATGAGGCGCGTCGAAACGAGTCTCGACGAGCCGAGAAATATTTCCAATGGATCCACAGCGTGGTGGTGACAACGCCGGGGCCCTGATAACACACATCACCCAGTGCCGTACATAGTTATGTATGTATGTTACGTATACGTACAATATAGTAGTTGCCGATTTGATATCTACACGGAATCTCTGGTGAGCAAATACACGAAAAGTAATAGAGAATAAAGAAAAGGCAACACGTGGGAAATACAGTTAAGAAAATTAACCAAAATAAGGATCTAGTCTATATAGATATAAAGTATAGGTCAGCTACATTGCATGGTAACCTTTGATTTTGCATTCATGGAATATTTCCACCCAATCCCTGAATATATTGTGAGGACAGTAAACTATAGACTCTGGAACTCTTGATCGCATATTATAATATATTTTAATACTTAATTTATGTGTGCATTGTTCTTTTCAAGTTCCACAAGTCAGCAGAGACTTTACTCTGTTGGTCGATTTGCTAATTCACTAAGAAGTCACGTTTTAATTGTGTTAATGATGAATAAATATTCGCTATATTGTGATTTATATGCCATGAAGGTTTCTCTTTATTAATCTCACTAGACAATTGGTTAATATATTCCCCTTAAAAGGGAGAAATTCAACTAGAATTTAGAAATCTTTCATCTATAGAAACTCGAAACTAACTTAAATAAGATAAGTTCGTCTACGACCCTGTGTTTTAATTAACTTGAGTGATCCTTGTACCTTGAAACCACATCTCCAGCCCCTTGACATCAAGTCTCTAAGCGTGGCAAGCACCCAACAACCCCCCAAACTCACTGCCAACCCATTCAATTCACACCTTTCTGTACCAAGTCCGTCCACGTCCGTTGTCTCTCTCCTCTCCATGTGGGTAAATATTGAAACGACATTCCAAAAAAGCCGAGTATACAATAACTAAACAGAAAATGACCGACCAGTGTCTGAGGAGGGAGCACTACCAAGGGCCACCGGCCAAGCCCCTATACATAATCCCCACCAGAGGCGTAGGCTGTATAAAAGTGTGGGTAGGGGTTTGCTTTTCTAAAAATTATGTAATCTAAACTATTCGTTTTTGGAGAAACTCTTCAAAATACTAAGCAAAAATTGCGGAAGCAACTAAATAACATTGAAAGTGAAAGATTCATTAGATTTAGACCTACATACCTAATTCTGGGGGAATTTGAAATTCAATTACTTTGAATTTAGAATTAAGTTGAACCCTTAAGAATGTAATTGATACTTGCAAGTGCTGCATATCTTATGATTGGTCTAGCCTTCTAAATTCTAAATTCAGCCTTGAGAAAGTAATTATACCTTTGCCCTTTTTAGTAAGGAATTACCTAAACAAACAAAGAAACGTGGCATTAATCAAACAAACAATTTAAAACCTGGCATTAATTAAATAGTTCGGTTTAAACAAAATTTCGGCATTTACTATTAGGTCTGGATAATTATCTTATCCCCGAAAAAGGTGACAAAATTATGATCTCGCAAAAACGAAATATACAAAATTGAATAACCGCCCACAGATGGCATGTCACGAGTCCAACTTAATTTGGCCACAAAGCCGCGATGACGACAATTAGATATAGAGACAGAAAACAAAATAAAAACTAAGCGAAACGAAACGAAACGAGACAATTGTCAACACGAAAAGCCAATTGAAGGCATCACAGGTAACTCAGGTAACGAGGCAGGATTACGTTGACAGGTCGCAGAAAAATAACCGAAAATTGGCTAAAATCAAAGATATTTTGGTTGTTAGCTTAAAGACCTGAAACTGCAAGATTTGAGATTGAATGGAAAATGCAATTGCTGCAGGTAATTGAGAGTAAGTGAAGGCCTTGCCTTCACTGGCAATATTCTCCCATTGATTAGGTATAATGTCTATATAATTACATTTGGAAACCTCAACAGCTGCAACACCTAGCCTACGTTTAATCATTACGTAGAATTAACTAAAACCAAATTGCGATATATAATAAATATAGGTTTTCCAGGTATTATCATTCAGCTGCAAATGGGATTGAATTTCCGTATTTCTGTGCTGCCAGCTGCTGGCCAAAGTCCCAGTCCGACTTGTGGGTGTAATTAATGGTAGCTACTACTCCCCCTCCTCCCCCAAGAGATAATACCGAGTTCCAAGGTTATCAGAAGCACATTTTGCAGAGTTTGCAGTGATTTAGATCTAGACTCACCTCGGCCGATTCTGCATAAAGTGCTGACCACCGAATATGACCAGCATGTAGATGCCGCAGTAGTAGAACACCCATGTCCAGTTCTCTAGCATCCATTTGCGCGTGCGCTGGTGTATGAAGTCGTTCTCAAAATCGAAGATGTACGAATAGTTGGGCGTAACACTAATATCCATATTGATCATTGTGGTGGGTCTAAGGAGTTATGTTTTTGGTGGCTATATTAGCTTTGGCTTTAGTGCTGCAAAAAATCAAGAACACTAAATTAGTTTTTGGTTTAGTTCTTTTTGTGCTTAATTTATACACAGAACTTTTTGAAATTAATTTGAATACTTTTTAGGCTTTGGGGCTTTGAAATTTAAGCCTGAATATGATACGTTTTTACTACTTATTGATAAAATCACATAATTTTATTATAATAATTTTAGTCAAAAGCTTGTAACTCTGTGAAGGAGGCATTTTCGACCCAATAAATCATATATATTCTTGATCAGCTTAAAACTCCTGATCAATCTAGCCATGTCCGGTGAAAAAATAAATTTTGAAAATTGTTCTAAAAATTTAATAAAATGATAAGGGGCTACATCGTTAAAATTTCCAAAAATTTACAAAATTTTTAATTTATAATTACGTATGCAGATTTATTAAGCTGAAAAAAAAACCAACATTGGAGCGCTTTCCAATTTAAAATTAATGGTTTTTTACCATAGTTATGAGTTTTTTAAACTTATACTTGTCGGTAAATATTGTCATATAAAAATATTGATAAATATTTCTACAAAGGTTCTGAGAATTTTAATAATCAAGTTCAGTAGAAACATTATCGATGCCAAATTTGTTAAGAGCTTTCCCATAGAATTACTTTAAATTCGATACTATAAGATATAGATAAAGTATCTATGAAATACAAAACAATCTTTATCTGTAACTTAAAGTCTTAAAAATACAAATTCCACATTTTTAGGGATTTATAACTATTATTTCAGCGTTCGATTAGGCAATGTTTTGATTCGACAAATATTAACTCTATAAAAATAAGCGGTTAGTGGATTGTTTTATTCGCTTAACTCTACACCTAACTCATTTTCTATATTTATTCATCGCTTACGCACCTATTAAGGGAATTTGCACGGAAATATGAAAGTTAAATTCATTGGAAATTTCCCCACCACTCCCCCATGCAACACCCAAACACACACACACACACTCATGCAGCATATTAAAGCGCGCATTTTGTCGCATAAATTTCTCGGCGACCTTCCTTTGTCCCTCCCCCTCAGCCACCTGCTCTTGCTCTCTCTCCAGCCAAAGAGATTTCATTGATTTTGCGAATAAAAAAAACTCCTCCATCCCTTTCGCGCCCAAAAGAGCGGTGTGTGTGCGCTGCTTGCACTTTTCATGAATGGCGCACGCTTTGTGGTCATCTTCATCTTCATTCTTCCGCTTTTCACACTTCTCACACCTCAAATAGATACACAAACAAATTGGGTGGGAGGGGGCGGTCGGAGGTGGCTGCAGCTGTAACGGGAACTGTAACTGTAGTTGTGGTGGTTTTTGGGAGAGCGTCCGTCTAGCCAATCTCTTTTCCTCATCCGCGCTCTCTCGCTCTGGCTGTGGCCAAGTCTCGTGCGAATAAAAAAGAACTCGGAAAAAGGAATGCATAAGAAAACAGCAGAAATACAAATGAGGCTGAAAACACACACATTTTTGCCGGTGGGAGGGAAATCATTTGAATGCCTAATTGCATGCCAGACACGCGACAGCTTGCCTACGTTCCCCGCCCCCACCACCACCCGCGCCCGTCTCGCACACGCACTCTCACTCACTCACTCTCTCACATACAGGTGATTTTGTTTCGGTTTAAGCTCCGCTTTGGAAGCTTTTTAGTTGTTTTATTTCGATTTCTGTTTCTTTTTTTTCGAGTAACATATCCGGTTTTTTGCGCGAACGCTTTCAAAAATTTCTAGTGAAATTTCATTCGTGAACCTTAGCGGTTTTCATGTTTCCAAAACATCACACCATAATTCCTCTCTCTCTCTCTCTCGCTCTCTATTTCTCCCCCACGCTCTGGGGCGCTCCTCTCGTGCAAAAAACACGCGTTCCTCTTTGGCATTCATCTTCTGACTATTTTTTTCTGCTCCTGAACTTGCCGTTTCATGTAATCGATAAAGTACGTTAAATCAGCAAAGTCTGGAGAATGTGTTTTTTCCCCCCCTTCGCTAACGCTCTCTGCAGCATCGGCGAAAAAGGGGCAACAAAAAATAAGCGGAAGAACAACCACCACAGAAAACATAGCACACGCACTCACACAAGTACCGCCGTAAAGCGCCGTAACTATTTTAAGATGCTGATAATTATGAGATATTTACTTTGCTCGCCGCTTCTTTCCGCACACACTGATTTACACAATTCACTTTTCCCAGCAATTCAGCGATTCAAACAATTCGCCGGGTCGGGTGGATTTGAAATGAGAAATGAAAAGTAACTTTATATAGATGAGAGGAGCGCAAAACATCGATTGAAAACATCGATGAAAACATCGATGCATCGATCTTTGTCGAATTTCCTAAATTATCGATGCTCTTTCGACCATCGATGTTTGTGTGTCGTCACTATCAAGGGAGTTTTGAATGCTCTCTTAAAACTAGTATTGTATTTCTTTTTCTTTAATTCACCCGAAAATCTTTTCCTTTTTTATTTCTTCGGCAATTTTCAACTTTAACCGAGAGGAAGGAAGAGCTCTTATAAAGTAAAGAGACTAGGTGGTGTGGTGCTTAAACAGAAGAGTGCAGCCTTTTAAAAATTATTTGCACCTCAACGCCCCCTTGTTTTCAAAGTTGAAAGTTGATGTAGAAACTAAAAGTAAAACTTTTTAAATCGAATTTTAGCACAGACTCACACCTTTTCAGTAGTAACCGCTACGTTATCGTTATCGACTTTTAAATATTATAATTTGTTTTAAATCTTTTTCTAGTTTCGATCACAAATAAATATAGAGAAATCTAATTTAACAGATCCCAACATAACATTTTTAAAATAGACTCGATTATAAAAATATAACCAAAAAATACATTAGTTTTAAAAATGCATAAATAATTCCACTAGTAACTTTTGTCGGTTGTGTTTTTAATTTATTACGCTATTGTACGCTTAATTTATAGTTTAGACATAAGATGAAAGAGGAGTGAGAGCGAAATGAATCGCATTAAAGCGTTTTACCAGGCAACGTATAGGCTGCGATGCCAGACTACGATCTACGATCTAAGGTCCTACGTGGCTACTTAGAAAATAACCTACTAGATCACAGTTGGTGGGGGAGGCTTTGAGAAGCTCTGATCCGATGAGAGCAGGAACTAGAAGAGACCCATGGAGGACACGTTCTCCGAGAGGATCATCTTCTGGACGTCGCAGAAGACGTCGCGAATGCACCGAGTGTCTGTGGCGACCGTGAAATGGTAGTAGCACTCCCGCTCGGAGGTGCCCAGATCGACCTGGTTCCGGGAGTGGCGCTTGAAGGGCTCCTTGGTGATATCCACTAGCTTCTGCTTGATGAACATCTTCGTCCAGTCGCTCTCGTCAAAGCAATTGTCCTGCTGCGGCCGCTTGCAGAACTCCTCGTACTCGGGAAAGTAGTCAACGATATGCTTGCCAGCTCGGATCTTTCGCTCCATGATGTCGTACTTGTTGAGGAACACAATAAGTCCGGCGGAGGCAAGGAAGCGATTCTGCCACACAGCCCGAAACAGTTTGAGGGCCTCCTGCAATCGATTCTGGGTTGGATCCTCCCTCAAATTCTGATCGAATTCACTGCAGGAGATCAGGAATAACACCGCCTGGATGCCCTCAAAGACCTGAATCCATTTGTTGCGCTGATCCCGCTGGCCACCCACATCATACATGCGGAACTCCTGCTCGCCACCACCCATGCTCCGGGGTATGGGCACACGGAAGGTGATCTGCGAGATGCCAGTGGTGATTTTCCGACTGTGCAGTATATCCTCGGTGCTGGGTATGTACTCCTCATCGCTGATCCGAGCAAAGTTGTCCAGGAAACTGTAAGTGAAAGGAGAATCTAGAGTTAGTAAGGGATTTTATAGGGGGGAAGCAGGATCCTATCTTAGGTAATACTTACTATTTAGCGCTATCCAGCAGGGGAAATTCATTCGAGCGATCGTAACAGGCACGAATGCCCACATCATTCCAAAGAGTTGTGACATGATCGCAGTACTCCTGCAAATATAGAAATAATAATCCAAATATGAGTAAGGTTTAAGGCGTTTATTATTTTCACTATAAAATACAAGGCTAACCCAGTCGTTAAACTGTTTGACTAAAGCCTAGCAATGACTGTTCTTTTCTTTATACCTAATATATAGGTCGGAAATGTACAGATTGGATTACTATCATAAATGATACGTGCTGCCGAGTAAATATTTTGGGTATTTCTTCTTCCATAAATCTGTCATAAAATCTGGGGGGAACTTAGCTACCCCAAAAAATAAACTTCCTTCCTTTCACTCAGTTTTATGTTTGGCATTACTCATTATTGGGGTAAAACATAAACCCCTTTGGGTGAGTGACTGGCGGCGCCCCGCCCTCTCAGAGGCTTGGACAGCCTTGCTAATCTTATCGTAAGCCATATAATGACCACTGGAGGTTCTAGATATAAGTATTTGGAAATGAGAGCCGCCTACTCCGAGCCATGAATCATCTGCATAGAATATTGCAACAGCTGTGGCAAACCTAAACAAAAATGTCTAAAACTCGTACTTCCAGGAAGTCCGCTCTGCAAACACTTGTTTTGGAAAGTTTTCAGACATTCCTTTAGCTAATGTCTAATGGATGGGCTATCAATCAAACCAGCCGCCAAGCGATAACAGCGATCGATCGATCGAACGTTGGCCAAAGCCATTGGAGATTTGACGCAAGTCTCTGTCGGCTTTCAAAGTCGTTTGCCTGGATTTTCGACCAGCACTATATGTATATGTCACAACACAATACATTCTGAAGTGCATCGGGGATAAGATACTATGGGACACTCGAATTGGTATACCAAAACTCACCTCGTTCATGTACTCAGGAGCGGATCCGGGCAGGGAGAGTATATAGTTGGCGGATCGTTCGCTGGTGCAGCTGCCAAAGTCGATCCCCAGGAGACCCATCTGGCCCACCAATTGCAGGATGGACTCGTGGATGTTCTGATATATCTCGGGGATCTTCTCGCGCCGCTCACTGGAAGAGAGAGAATAAAAGGAGAGGGATGTCTTGAGTTTTATGCGGAAGTATATATCATCGAAAGATTTTTAAAATATCTCAACTTTAGTAATAGTTTTTCAAATTATTAAAAATCGATTTAAATAAACACATACCCCAGAAACACTAACTAACTAACACTCTTTTTATTATGAATTTTTTAAAATGCTAAACCGTACACCTGACAAATTTTCGACCACTTGCTTTCCAGTTAAAGATAATAAAGTCCACACCTGTTCCTTCCTTGTTTGATATTTATCACCTTATGTGGAATTATGTTTCAGAACTGAATTATACTTAATATTATTGGTTCTAGTCATGTAATCTGATTCCCCATAATGTTATCTTAATTACAAATTCCTCAAGCTTCAGATACTTACTCATCGGTGAATCCGTTGATGTGCAGTATCCGCATTTGCTTAATGATAGTGGTCTTGCCGGACTCGGCGGTGCCCAGGAGCAGGATCTTGACGGTGGTATCCCTGATGCCGCCCTTGGACATGTCCTTGAGCATGTGATGATCATGCATGGATTGCACCTGCATCTCCTCCTTCTGCCCCATCACGGCCGCCGGCTTTGAAGGTTGCTGGCGCAAACAGCGCAAAAGTCTGCAGGTAAAAAGAAATGAAGGTAAATTTACTTAGCATTTGCTTCTACGGTGGTGACTTCTAAGGAAAAACACGCCGATCAGGGGTCTATATATAGTAGGTAAATATTAGCATACACCCCAAAGTACACTCTAACGTTAGATGGGGGAATGTATATGTTTAATTAAAAGCACACAGAAGCCAGAGATAGGGGGATACGGTACCCACAACGGTTCCTACTACGTGGACTACACTACGCAATAGATAAAGCCACCATGGACCCGAAATGGAGTCGGAGCAGGAGGAATCAGAGGCATTGGAGGGGCTGCGTCTGGCAGAAATCGAATCTGACGCATTCCAAGTACACAATAATTGCAATCAGTTGGAAACAAGCTTTAATTAGGAGAGAGAGAGAGAGAGAGAGCAGAGTGCTACTGCTGGGTAAAATACAAACAAACCTGTTTAAAACATTTACTAAGGCCCAAAGTTATTTGCCAAATCATCCCAACAAGGCAGGTATTGTTTACTTTGAGTCTTAATATCAAAGTGTAAATACTAAAAGTCATTATTGAGTCATTACGACAAATTGTTCTGCCACATAATAATGCAATTATCGAATTCCTAATAATGGTAAAATAAATATTGAAGTTAACCACCTAACCACCAGTTAGTTTTCAAGTGCCAAGAAGTTAAAGTTGAAGTGAGTGTCTTGAGGAGAAAGACATCGCTATTATTATCAGTAGAGACCATTGAGAATAGTTGTTAAACAAGATGAAGTACTTCAGGGCACATAGGCTCTTTGGGTTCATAATGTTTCCAAGACGCAAAAATTTACCAATTACACTTGTTTCTGAAGTTAATTACTTGGTTATGAAGCAGGCTTTTAGGTAACATAGAGTGGGGAAATCAAGAGTAACCATATGAAATTCAATCACTGAAGATGCTATGATTGTATAATTAGGTTATAGAGGCTCTGATTCGATCACGTTTTAAGATATCGCCAGACAAACCTCAACAACAAATAATGGTTATGATCCTTAGGGCAATCATATAATAAATTCCCTGACTAATTGCCTTAATTGAAACCGTGGAAAAATTCGACTAGACCCGGTGCTAAACGCACTTTGCTCCAGAGGGGAATATGTATGATATCTGACTATAAATCGAGTCAGGTGAAAATCATTCACATCCAGATCGGGGCGCTAGCTGGCTTTATGGCTAGCAATTCTAATTGAACGATTGCCAAAAAACTTAGTCAAGACCATTGGCTACACGATGGGTCTCCTTATCGACGGCGCCCGCCACTCCAGATACGAGGCACTATGTTCCTTATCGAGCAAAACCTCCAAGCCCTCACTTAGCCTATCCATCGATCCATGCAGGGTATGATGAAACCCTTTCTGATTTCCATTTAAATACAGCTCTTCTTCTGGTTTAACCATAACCTAGGCACCACAATTTATGGTTCACTCTTTATTGGAATGTTAATCATGAATTTTTCCCCACAATATTGGGTATTTCTCTGACTAAGTGTGGCTATCTTTACGGCATCGACTGTAATTTCTTACTTGATTTTTGTTTCTTTAACTGGCCTCATAAATGTAGCTGAAGTATTTATGATCAATTTACAAAACAAAGAAAATTGGAACCGTTCTAATCAGTGTCCATTGACCTCCTCCCGTTTCACGGCTTGGCAACTACATTACAAAGTTACTCTTTGTGCTCGATTGGAGAAAAGCAAATAAACATTAGTTGGCACCCTGACAGGTGCCAAATTGAACGTGGGGCTAATCTATACAAATAACCATAAAATTGTATAATTTATTCAAAGATAATATATCGGTTAGAGGCGGTAATTTACTTTTGGTGAGCCCAAAGATGCGTCAGACCAGGTTGAGGTAATGCGAAGCGTTGAGAATAAATTGCGTCAGCCACCTTAGGTGGGTGGTGTGAGAATCGCAGAGGAAGGCACTATCGAAGAATTTCCTTATTTAATGGGAATGATGATCCCTAGGAAGAAACAACATATTTTATATCATTTTTTTGGCCCAAAGTCATGCCATAAACCTCATATTTATTTAGCAAAGGTCAAACGTTTTGTGGCCCCTTCATAAAGTTAATTTGAATTATCTGGCCGACTGGCAGTCTGATTTGGGCAGCCCAAGTGATTAGCTTAGTCCCAAATATAGAATGCATATTATATATATTGGATATTCCGCCATGATATCATCCGATCCGCCGCTCGCTGATAGGAACAAAAGTCCGGAAAACCTGGTATATACATATACTCTCAGAAGGTAATGCAACCCCATTGGTTTAGCTTATCGAAAGCTGATTGAAGGTTCCACAGTTTCTGTGATTTTTGGGGCCTTTCCAAGTTAAGAGGAAGTTCAAGCTGATACCAGGCTATCGTTAATCAATATATAATAATATCAAATAGACCTAGTTTCCTAGAAGTTAGAGGGTGGGAAACCAAACCAACCTTAATTTCATGCTTCTGAGTGTTGTATCAATCGTGATCGATTGCTTCAGGTTTCTGCTTTATTTATTCACTTTTGTTTTTTCACTTGGAGCACACTTTGTTGTATTGAATTCTTTAAATTCCCTGGACTGGATTATGTTGACAGTTCTTTGGCCAGGCTATATATTATGTTTATGGAGCACTTGAGTTCTTGTCACCGTTGTAATAATAATATCCATTTGTTTGTATCACTGGGAGCTTCTGCTGTTGATGTTTTCAGACTTTGTAAGCCTCTGAAACACGTCTAACACCGTTTTATGATCACACAGCACTGAAGCGGCCAGTCAACGGGTCGATTTCTTAAATATCAGCTCGGTTCCCCCATTCACTACCTGAGATAAGGCCCCAAAAAAATTATAGAGAGAGAGAATCGAATGGAACTGAGAGCGAATTTTGCTGATGTGTGTTGTTTTTCCAAAGGGGAGATTGTGAGGGGGCGCCGGATGGACTCATGGCAGCCACGAATCGTTTGTTAATTGCTTGTACGGGTGTTCAAAGTAAGAATGTACATTATCAGTGATAAGATAACAGCAGGCGACACACCGTCAGCCCACACACAAAAGCCCCAAGAGAGAGAGAGAGAGAGTGATCCAAAGAGAATCACTAACAGTAGCTCTTAAGGGCAAAATAACCAAGTCATCGACATAATTGCTTCGTAAGAGTGGCAGAATATACCAGAGTTATATAGGTTGTACGAGTTACACTTAGGGGAATTTTGAGATATTATTAAAGATTTATCAATAAAACAATAATATAAAAATAGTTAGAAAGAAAGCTATCTTCAGGTGGCTCTAATATCTTTTAATGGGGTTTAGTTATATTTAGGGTAAGTATACAAAGTTTCATTGAAATATCTTTAAAGATATCAAACTTACAGGAATATTAAGAAATGATCTTATCCCCAAAATACCCATGGTATTTCAAGCATAAACCTCTCCATGACCTATAGTTGGTATACCATTTCCCCTTATAAAATCTCACCTGTAGTAAACCTCTTTTGAACCACTGTTTAATTAAATTTTGGAATGGAACTTTACTCCTCTTCGATGGGCGCCGCCCTTGACAACTGAAACTGCACTCGAACTGGCTGGCGAGGATTACAAGGGTCGAGAGTTGGAGACTGATTGTTTGCATACTAAAGCAATTGATATTTTGCAACAATAGTTTCGCACTCGAGGGAACTACACTCCATGTAATTAAAATAACGAGACTCCAAAGGGATCGAAACCTTATCACAATGTGACTGATGGACCCCGAATTGACCCAGTGCAGGGACTCAAGGATAGAACCCTTGATGGTTCAAGGCGGTTCACTTTCCAGAGTGAGGCGTTGAACCCCCCGATATCCATCTGGGGCTCTCCTTTACGATGGATTTCAGAAGTACACTGGCTGATTCTTATCGGACGACAGTCAGTCAATGGGCTCTGTGATTTTCTGCTCTTATTTTATGAATTTATTTGCTTGTTTGCAAGTCGTCTGTGTCTGGCGACAGGGAAAGCTGGAAAAGAAAGGGTGTGTGAGATAGTCATTCCATTCCGGCAATTAGTAATTTGGCGGTGCCGAAAAACAAAATTTTCCTACAAATTGAAAGCCATAAACATGGGGTTTATGGATCCAAGGCATACGTATTGTACTTCTAGTTAAAAAAGTTGCCAAGTTGAACTGTCGCGTAGACACACATTTCGCCAGAACTTGATCAGTTTCAATTAGTTTGGCACACGTAAAGGGTTGACTACCCAAATGGCACTTGCGGAATGGAATTTCAACTATTTTGTTTTGTTCACAAGATTGAAATTCATTTGAAGAAATGTACATACAGACCCGAAAAATAAGTCGCCATTCATTTCCCAGTATCAGTCGCGATTTGATTTAGCTCTAACTTGGATTTGGATTTCCGCTTCTTTGAGCGGAATGCGAAATCGAGCGATCTCCTCCACTCGATCGTATGACTGACTAGCCAAACTGAATGCCCAAATAGTCAGTCCTCTCCTCGGCGCGTTTGCATTATATAAAAAAAATACAAAATCTGCGGCGATATAAGGCCGTAAATCTTGATCCGATTGGAACCCATTTGGGTAGGGAACACGGAGCTGGAGCGGATCGGTGGCGCTAATCATGTGGAACCTCTTTCTTCGCCCGAAATAATAATCTCTGCCTGATAATGCAATGGGGGATTGGGGGGGGCCTGGAGAGAGCAACATAATACTTGAGAACCCGATATTGGGTATAAATTAATGGGGAGCTAACGATACGAAACTGTACTCTTAGTCGCCGATTTTGGAAAGCAATAATTATGGGTGTAAATCACTTAATTAGGCTGTCAATCTAAGGAAATGGTTTAAAATAATAAAACCATCAAGCTTATTGTGTATTTAGAAAGTAAATACTAATGATTACAATCATTAATCGGTAGATCACTTCAAGAATTTTATAATATTGTAAAAGCTGATTGTTTTCTGGGAATAATAAAATAATAATGACTAAGGATTCCATTAGTAATTAAAAAGAAAGGAAGCTAACTTCGGGAAACCGAAACCGAAAATCCCTAATAACTTGGTCAAAAATTAACTAATTTCCAATCGGAAAGCTGTTCTGTGTTAGTTTTTAATGAGTTAATAAATCTGCATTCTCCATTAATTTTTGCAATTTTTTTGAACATTTTAACGATGTAACCCCTTAACTTTTTTGAAAATTAAACAAAATTTATTTTCTCACCAGACATGGCTAGATCGATGTGGATTTTGGTGCTGATCAAGAATACATATGATTTATAGGGTCGGAAATTACTCCTTCAATACGTTATAAGGTTCTGACTATAATTATAATACCCTGCAAGGGTATATAAAAACATTGTAATAAATGGAATAAACTAAGTAATCTCAACACTTATTCTTGTTAAATATTCAAGGAAAACTCTGACGTTTCTTTAGCTTTATGTATTGGCTTAAGATAAGCTCTAAATACCCGTTGTAATGCCCTAGAAGAATAGGAAACAATTCCAACTATGTGCTCTTTTATGGTAGTAGACCTGTTTTTTACCCTTGACTTAAGGCACTCGACCGATACGACAACCAGGCCCCCTGACATCACGCAACCAACTTAACCAATCACGTAAGCTGCTAATTCCGGGGGATCTGGCGTCTTGGTCGAACGTGATCCCGATCCATCAAGTGCGCTCCTGATATCACCGTCCACATAGCTGATAGATATAGCTCCACTCCGGTGTTATTTGTCTAATTCGACAAACAGGGCCCAGAGGCAGATAAACGCTGAGGCTCTATAATTTGGCCATTGTTTTTGTTATTGTTTGTGCCTTAACTGCAATGTGTTGACAAGCATTTTGATTAAGGAACGATGGGTGACAGTAGTGGAGTGGAGGAAGTGGGAGTGCTGGGCACGTCTCTGGTTCATGTGTGGTACGTCGGATAATGATGTACGAGGAACAGGTTGAAGTTGAATGATAGCCTCATGCTGGGAAAAACAAGTGATTCACATGGATATATCTCTTCCCTCCTTTTTTTATGGGGGAAGAGATACCAAAAAACTAAGTTACGAAATCATGACAGTCTCCGACAAGGTCGTTTAAGAATTTGAGAATTGTAAGTCCCCGCCAACGAACAACCTTTCTTAATTGCCTTCTTGAGATAGAATAAAGGGTACAACGCATTTCATAACTAAGCAGGGGAGTTAAGTCCTGTAAATAGAGCTAAGCCTGATATTATTAGGTTGTAATTGCCATAAATCAAGTGCCATTGTCCTTACACAGAAAACAATACTGTTGAGAAATCGCAAATTCTGCAAATAGAATTTGTTCTTTATATGCGCCACACCCCATTATAAAGATGTCGAGATAATCGGTACTTAATCGCCAAATAATTGGCTCGGCATCGTAAAGATGTATATAGAGGAGAGTCTAGCACTTCTCGCTGAGTTTTAGGAGCCACTTCACATGACCACCTCGATGGGAGTTAGCCACTGCCCGAGCACGTGTTTTTGCCACCCACTTTGGTTCCGTATCTATCGCAGGGTAAGAGTGGTTAGGATTTGGTTTTGTACATGAATAGTACCCTTGTTTCTTGTTACTAGTGTTTGGCATTATCTTTTTGTAATACTGACCCATCCACAGAGGGTCAGTTTTTTTAGTCACTTTAATAGCAGGTGCTTAGTAAGAGTTCCTTGATAAAGAAAGTAAAGAAAGGGTGCAGCTCAAGAGCTGAGATTAGCCCATAATCAAGGTCGTATCAAGAAAGGTCTCTCAACGAAGTCGGGGATACTCTTCAGCAGGTTTGGGTAGCGAATTTCAAGCTGGTAGCCTCATAAGTTTTAGGCAAACTAATGGTATTGCAGCTTAATTTTTATAAATTCCTTGTTCAAAAATAGCTCTCTTTTTCTTCTGCTATATTTCACTTTTAGAGCTCTTTGCAAAACCGGTCCATATCGATGACTTGTTTATTTATTCAGGGGGATTCCCTTATCTCGATTCACAGTCGATTACATACCACGCACGAGTGATTTAAGACCCTGATAACCTAATCGTTGGCCGGCGTTTAAAGCTCTTGCTTCTAGGGTTAATCTCTTAGCAGGTCAATTAGCTTGCTAGAACAATCAATAACAAAATGTGGCGAGAGGAAAGGACTCTAGTTAAATATATATGTATTATAATATGCTTTACAACTAGGCGGAAACAAAGAATCGAATGTATAGCGACAACACACGCAGCGGAAGTGGCTCCTCCTCCTTCTCCTTCTTCTTCTCATCACCATCATCATCCCAACCGCCACTCCGCATCACTTCAAGATGGACCATTTGAGTTGTTCGCGCGCCGATTGCAGAACCTAAAAGATAGATAGCACACGACACATATAGAGATACAGCAATTATATCGAGCAATTAGTTAATTAATCAAAGTCGGTTAAGAGCACAAGCCTCCAGAACATAGTTATCAGTCATACATATTTATTAGATCGTTTCCAGGGAGTACAAAGGAATGGGGCTATTTTTAGGGTAAAATAATCACAACGATGTACACACAAAATGAAACAAAAAAGGGCAAGACTATATATAAACTTATGAAAAGTCTGCTTTATACATAAAGGTTAATAACTGTTAAGGTTTAGTAAACATAGGAGGAGGGAAACATGTACAATTGATTAAAATAAAACAAGAAATATATTACTAAACACATAGATAGCGCAAAAGGCCTACCTTACGCACTCCTTTCAGTTAACGAAAGAACTAAAAAATGAGCATAAAGTTGCAAAATACATATTAATCGTTTTTATTTGATCATCTTTACGAATACAACGAAATGGGGTCAATTTATATGGGGAAAACTAATCAAGAGTACGAAACAAAACTAGAGAAACACTATAAACTAAATGTTCTTTGATCGAAATGCCTACCAATTAACGTACAAGACACTTAAACAAGCTACTAAATAGAGTAGGGTAGAGTATTGGCTACCAAAATAGACCATTTAGGGTATTAGTTACCTGGGCAACGGTCTGTTCGGCAATGGGAATGTCATCGTTGCGCAGATCGACGCGTTTCACCACGGACGAGGGATCCGCATCCAGAATAATGCTGTATTGGGAATAATTTGCATTAATAGAATCAAAAACTATATAGAACGAATGAAAATACAGTGATGGGGGAATAATACTGGAGAAGCCAAAAAATGTGTGTTTTTGTTAAGAAAACCTAAGCAATATCTGAATTAAATCGTTGTAATGGTTCTTGGCAGACAGAACTAACCATAGAAGTGATCTTTAAAGGGTAATTAGCACCCAAGTTATAGAAGTTCAATGGTCTTAGACGCCACCACATCCCATCACTGCATTTCTCACTTAACTAAATACCCACCCTCCGTCACAGATCTCATCAAAGGCCAGCATAATGATCTCCAGGTTCTCCAGCACCAGTCGTTTCTCCACATTCTTCTTAAGAATCAGACTGATGGAGTCGTACAGGCAGTTGAGCACGGACAGGAGGATCAGTTCGTTCTCGTAGGCGGTGCCCATCACGTAGAAAAACAAATCCACATTGCTTTTGTAAACACAGGTGAGGCCGTCCAGCATGATGATTTCCGTGTTCGACCGGTGCGTCTTGTTGAAGAGGTTCTTTTCGAAGGCCTTCTGTTCCTTCAACGTGGACAGGATGTTCTTGTCGTAGTACTTGGCCAGAATGCGGTTGCCGTCATTGTCCATGATGCACATGCCCTTGATGATATCCTGCGGCAAGGGGGATACTTGAAAATCAGCCGGTAATTTATAAATAAGGCATTTACCATCATAAATCCGTCCATTTTCGCAATTTTCTTTTTGTTTTCGTGTCTTACACGTCACATTAGAGATGGCCAAGTCTTCGATTGCGGGAAGACTATCGCGATTCACGTATGGTTATCGATATATTGTTAGCTTGATAGTCTTTTGGTTACTTTTTAGAACGCGAATAGTATATCGATATTTCACTAGGCAATCGACTTTTTAGAACATTTGAATTTGAATTGTGGCACTTTTGGTTTAAATTTTAAACTGAGTAGGCAAAAGCCAAAATTGTTTTTGATTGTGTTTCATTGTTTCTGGGTTAAAACAAAGCCCAGAAAACAACTGTCGACAGCCTAAATTTTGATTAATTCGTAAAAAACAGAGACACGTACAAATTATTTGCGCTCAGCCAACGAAATTGTTTCGATTCGATTGTGTATCTATATTTTATTTAATTTAAGTTTAATTAAAAGCCATCCCGATGGACATATTAGAGGATGAGTTTGTTATCCCCAGGGATGAGGAACTGGAGCACGAGGTCGAGCACAAGGCGGCTTCTACCAAGCTGCTGCGATCCGCACGTCGTCGTCATAACCATGACGTCAATGGCACCGCCGCCAACACCACCGTAGCCGCTCACATGATGGCGGGCAAGCCGAAGCCACCGAAGCCGGAGTCCAAGAAGCTGCGCAAAAAGCTGACCGAGTGCGAGCAGGAGAAAAACTCACTGGCCCAGGCCATTCAAGACAAGAATCAAGAGATCAGTGACTTGAAAAAGTCCGTTGATTCACTTAATGATGTCCTAAATTCGGTGCCCATAGATGAGCTGCGCTGCAACTCCTCGATAGCCAGTACCAAGATCCTGGAGCTCAGCAAGAAGAACCGTATGATGCGTGCCGAACTCGAGCAGACAAAGTCTCGACTGAGCAAGAAGGAGAGTCAGATCGAGAAGCTGGAGCGAGATGTGCGGACCCATAAGGAGATGCTGCAGGCCAATCAGGATTTGATGAAGAAGGGCACCTCCGCCGATGAGCTGCAGGCCAAGGTCAACAGCATGCAACAGAAGCTATTCGAGACGAGGAACAAGAACACGGAGCTGCAAAACCAATTAAAGTTGGCACAAAAGTGCCTCCAGCACGAGATCGGTGGCGATGCCTTGAATATAAACATATTGGCTAACAATCTGAATCAGGCTAACTGGCGTGGTCGAGCCCAGCAGATTATCACACTCACCCAGAAGGTGCAGGAGCTGAAGGCTCGCCTTGACTCATACGAGGATCGTTCTCTGGACCGTGGCGTAATGGACTATGCTCCAGTGCCCATGGGCTCCGATTTGGACAAGGTGCACAGCAGTCCTCGATCGTGTCACGCCAGCCTGGGTGGTGGAGATGGTGCTTGCACTGCACCCTTCGATAGGTTCACGCCCGGCGTGCGAAAGAGTGAGATTCTGCATCGTGCCAAAGTTGAGGCCTTGGAAAAGGAGATTGTGAATCTGCAGACACAATTGGAGGAGCAGCGCAGCAAGACCTTGGCCCTAAAGGTGCGCAACAAGACCCTTAACGAGGACTTGATCAAGTACAAGATACGTTCCAGCGAGCTGGAAGAGCAGACAGACTACAATGGAATCAATATAAACACTATGAACGACAAGCTCTCCAAGCAGCGCCAGCAGTACGAGAGCCGAATGGACGATACACGTGCCGAGCTGATCCGAATAACTGAGGAGCGGGACACTGCTCGTCGCCAAATGGAGGAGCTGAGTAGCATGAATCTGGAGCTGCAGGGCATTATCAAGCAAAAGGAGGTGGAGGTTGTCAGTCTACAGGATATGGCCAAGAAGCTGGAGATGGATCTGCGTGCTGTCACTGGAGGATTCCTTTTCTCCTGCCGCGAGTTCCGTAAAGTAAGTTTAGTTGTCACCCTAAAAAATAACAACAAATTATTATTCTGTTGATTTATTTTCCAGGAAGAATATGTGGGCATTCTGGATGCCTTGGAGGTGGAGAAAAACCAGTTAATATTGCTCAACAAAAATCTAAACGAACGCTTGGAGACGGAGCGCACCAGGGTTGAGGCGGCGCAGGAACAGATAGGGAAGCACAAGACCCGCATCAGTCGCTTGGAGGCCAGGGTTCGGGAGCTGGAGAAGGAGCTTGATGTGCAGTCCGACAAGAAGAAACGCACCCAGCGAATGGCTGACTATGCCAGTTCGCTGAGTCGCTCTTCTCTTAGCGGATCCATTGGCTCCTTCAGCTTTGAGAATCAGTCGCAATACCAATCGATCACCACTCTAAATTCGGCCGGTCAGGTTGAGCCAAAACTGGAAGAATTAAAGAATCAGTGAGTATATATAACCAATATAAGGGGTTAAAATCTATTACAAATACCTCCATAAATAATTCCAATTTATTTCAATACTCAGATTGGAATTGGCTCAGGAGAAGATCACCATGCTGACCGAGAAGCTTGATTATATTACTGAAGAGAAGCGCGCTGATGCCAAGTTCTTTGAGGAGACCATTAACAATTCCAAGACCATTATCCTGGACACTATACTCGGGACTCGTGAGGGCAAAGGCACCACAACTACGAGCTCCACTCCAACTGAAGATGAGCCGGCCCAGAGCCGCTAATCAAATAGGATTTGTAATTTAGTTCTTTTTTTAACGTTATTTCCAAAACCGACAAGGCATGGGGCCACAATTTGAAAGCTTAATAAAAATAGAAAATCCTCGTTGGGTTTTTCATAAATGTTTTATTTGTTTTTTTATTTGTAACACGTTCACAAAACAAGAAGCCTTTGGCGATGCTTCAGTTTCAGTTTCAGGATAAGATTAGATATTAATTCATGTAAGTTTCTTCCTTCCCTCAAAAGCAGTTCAAATTGCATTATGCCTATATAGTTATTAATTAAATGTGTGTGGGTGTGTGTGTAAGTTAATAATACATTATATAGCTTGACTCCGCCATTTGAATCATCACATTATTATTTATTTTAGTTGCTGTGTGTAAATTGTTTCGTTACTTTGCATTTAGAAATTCGTTCAGCGCATTCTTTTTGCATAATTAATTGCATAAAGTTACATTAGTTGTATATGTATGTATGTTATTGATGCATTTATTTATTGATAAGCCTAGGTAAATTGGTTTTCATCTAAAAAACACGTCGTTTTAGCAAATTAAAGGCACTTTCAAGGATTTATTTTGTGAAACGAAACAATACTCCCATCCTATTTCTCATTTAACACTAGAAACAAACAATATTCATTATTCCTCTTAACAAAAATACATATAATATATATTTATATATTAAAACATGAATTTCCCCCAAAAACAAAGAACAATATATATATTTTCATTGCCTGCTGCTACTTTGCTGCTAGATATACATATAAATTGACAAAATTGTAGGGATAAAGACTCGGAATGAGTCCGATTAAGCTTTTGGAAAGCCTAAAAACAAAAACGAGGAGGGGAAAATCTAAGTAAGTTTACTTTTGAGAACTTCTAATTAAATTAGAGCATTGTTATGGTTGCTGAAGCATTATTTTTATTGTTTAGCTACAAGAGAATGTGTTCCCCTGGATATATTTGTATATATTGATGTATGATTGGTTAGCTATAGCGTACGATTAGCTGCTGATTACTAAACTTGTCTCTTGTATATCGCTCAATAAATATTCTGTATAAATTTGATTCGTAGATAAATGCAAACTTGGCTCTGGTCGCTGCTTCACTAACTTGCGGGAAATCGTTGCGGATATATGGTATATTATATCGGCCGATTCATAGCTGAAACACACACATTCGACATTCGACATTCTTCAGAACTCGGCTGTGGCTTTTCGTTTATTTAGTTATGTATGTATATACCGGATTGTTGGTTCTTCTTCTCAGTTTAATCGATTGCTATTAATTTTACAAATGAATTTCTCATTCTTTACAAAATCCGCTGCTTTGCTGCTTGGCTATATGTATATGTATATGTATATATATATAGAATTTATATATATCTATGTATGTGAATGTAAGTATAAATTAATGCACTAAATGTTTAGGTTTTGGGTCGGGGTGCTGGGAGTGGGAGTGGAAGAGGGATTATTAAGCGACCGTCGCCGTCGCCGCCTGAATACGTGGTTGAAGTAGTAGTAAATATCCTGTTCGGGCTGCTGCTGATTGGGCGTCTTCCTGTTCATATCCTGCTGCTGCTGCTGCTGCTGATGCTGCTGTTGCCTCTGCTTGGTGTCCACTTGCGGATGGTAGTTGCTGTAATGATTGTATCCATGCATATCGTATGGATTATGGTGACCCGATGGATGCATGCCAGCGGGTGGAATTGGTCCTAGTCCTCCTACTCCTCCTATTCCACCGCCGCCATGGATACCGTGTCCACCATTTCGCATCATTAGATTCGTGTGCATATTACGATCCGCAAGAAAGACATTGACAAAGAAGACGAGCACGAGCAGGATGTAGAGCAGGCAGACGAGGATCACCACTGCTGGCTGGCGACAGCAGCAGTAGTAGAACATTCCCTATTATATAACCGCCTGCTCCACATAGTTGGCGGGCAGCATGCCGGTCTTGCCGGTTCGCTCCACACGACCGGTCATCCAGCCAGAGTCAATGGATTCCACCTCAAAGATGACATCGCCTTCAGAAAAGCTGACTTCGTCGACGTCCTGCGCCTCGTAGTCATAGATGGCCCGATACACACGCTGGTGGGGATCATTTAATTAATTAATATAAACTTAATGAATAGTAAATATACCCTTCTCACCAAGGCACCGCTTTGGCGCGACTGTTTTTCCTGCAGGGAGACGTAGGATGGCTGCTGGCGCAACTGCTGCTGGTTCTGCAGTTGCTGCTGCTGCTGCTGCTGCTGCTGCTGCTGCTGCTGCTGCTGCTGCTGCTGCTGCTGCTGCTGTTGTTGTGGCGGATGCTCCTGCTGCTGCATCATCTGCACCTGCTGATAGTACTGCTGCTGCTTTTGCTGCTGCAGAGCCTGCTCGGCACCACTCAGCGAACCGTAGATGCCATTGGCTGGATCAATGTCCTGAATGGAGCCAATCCTCTTGGGATACACACTGTTGCCTGTTTGGAATGATATACACATAGTTAGTTTGCAGTTCAAAGGTTAACTCAACTAGATTCTAGTCGTGGGGACAAGGACAAGATGACTGCTGTTGTGTGTGCGATGGCTTTACATCGAGCTAAGCTAAGCTAGCTAGCCTGGCCTACTTGAACTACTTACCACCTGCAGAGCTGTAGACCAATGTGGTGCTGGATCTGCCAGACTGGGGCACCACCCTTGGCCCATCCGTCAACGGATCGTAGTCGGCTATCTTTCCGATATTACCACCGCTGGCCACCATGGGCACGTGGCCATTGCTGGCATTCTTGGTATTTATGGCGTTCTCCGAGGGCGAAACCGTGGCATAATTGGGTGAGGCATACAGCTGCTGAACTCCTGGTCCGGCTGGTGCTCCTCCTCCTCCTCCAACTACTCCAGTCACACTGGCCGCCGAGCGTCTCATTTGTGGCGGCAGCATTTGTTGGCTGTTGTTGGTCGTCGGTTGTTGTTGTTGTGGCTGCTGCTGCTGCTGCTGCGGCAGTTGTTGCTGCGGCAGTTGCTGCTGCTGACCATGGCCATTATTATTGTTCAAGCTGTGATTGCTGCTAACGCCGCCGCCGCCAACGATGTTGCCGTTGCTGGGATTGTTGTTCAGCAGGCTATGTTGCTGTTGTGGAGCTGCCACCATCGTGGGGTTACTGTTGTGCTGCTGCGGCTGCTGTTGGGGCTGCTGCTGCTGCTGCTGCTGTGGGGGCTGATGATCATAGTGATCGACAGAGTTGCCGCTGGGATGATGCGAATTCTGGAGTATGGCTGAGCGCATCTCATTGTAGCTATTAAGCGCCTGCTGCTGCTGCGAATTCTGCAGCTGTTGTTGTGGCTGTTGATGCTGTTGCTGTTGCTGCTGCTGCTGCTGCTGCGGCTGATGGGATGTTGCTGTGGGATACAGATGTGAGGCATGTTTAATGGCTTGCTGTTGCAGCAACTGCTGCTGGTGTAGCTGCTGTTGGTGCTGCTGGCGCAGTGCCTGCGGTTGCTGGTAATGGGCATAGGGATCGTGCAGTTGCTGTTGCTGCTGCTGATGTTGTTGTTGTTGTTGTTGGGCTCGCTGTTGCTGGTGGTGTTGTTGCTGTTGTAGCTGTTGGTATGTGGGCGTTATGGCCGCTGTGTTGTATTGCTGGTGTTGTATGGGTGGCGGTGGCAGGGTCTGTTGCTGCTGTTGCAGATAGTGTTGGTGTTGCTGCTGCTGATGTTGCAGTTGCTGCTGATATTGCTGCTGCTGCTGATGTTGCAGCTGCTGCTGTTGCTGGTGTAGTGTTGTCACTGCTGGCGGTATGGGTGAGGCTGTGGGTGCATATTGCGATAATTGTTCAGCTGCCAATTGCTCAGAGAAATATTCCGATTCATCTATCGATTTTATTCGATTGTTTTTCGATATTATTGGTTCGATTATGAACGATTTAGTTAGATTTTTAGTTACATTTCATTAGGCACAACATTTTGTCCACAGTTTTTGTTGGTTGTTGTTAGTGTATATATGCGTGTTGTGTGTGCGTGTGTTTTGCATTAATTTTTAAAGTTTTTGTTGTTTGTTTTTTGTTGGTTGCAATTGATGATTGTGGAGAGTGGGGTAAATTATGCCAACACACAAATGTGATAAACAAAGATTCCGCAACAAAATAAATATATATGTATAAAAAGAAAACGAAACCATAAAAAAAGAACGGCATTATAATCAATATTAATGACAATATGTGACAGATGTGACGGATATGATGGATATAGATATGTGTATATTGTAGATAAATAGTGCAGAAATGCAAACACAGACATGCCTTAACTATATATAGAGGTACAGTGGTTAAAACTTATTTTAATACATGAAGAAAGTATACACTTAATTTCAATTATATTAATCAGAAACTTTCTTTAAGTACTTTTCATTTACTGGTCTTTAAATTAGGTTTACAGATTATTTTTATTACTTAAATATTGTTTAATTTCTGCACAGAAAAATATACAAATGAAATAGTTTAGTTAGAATAGTAACTAATCAGTATATTTATTTAACATAAAACAAGCTTCAAAGTGTCCACTGTAAACTAGTTTTTGTTATTTATTTCAATGCATGCATGAATGACGTCAATAGACAATTATGAACACATTAAAAGTCAATGAAATTCGAATAAATTGATTCAAACAGTAAACCCAACCAACTAACCATTATTAAGCGAACGAGCGGTCACAAACAATGAAGCTAACATATAGTGAATGAGGGAGAAATATATGTACATACATTAATGTACATATATATAGTAATTACAACAGGGTTTCATAGACAAATGAAGAAATGACAGAAAGGGGTTAACCCCGGGGATGGAGCATAATACTCACTGCTGCTATCGGACACCTCGGCGGATCCTCGCTGCTTCTCCATGGCGGCCTTCTTCTCCAGATCGCCGTGATATGCCACATTCGATATGTGCTTCGTGTTCTGTTTGATCCGCAGCGTTTCCGGGTCATCGGCCACCTGTCGAACCAAAGATGGGAATGCATAATGCAATTAGTAATCCATATTCTGAATGCAAGAAAAGAGGGAGTGCCTTTCACACACACAGAGAGAGAAAATGCATACTAATTTAATCTATTATCATGAAATAAAACCTTGAATTTATTTGTAATTATAGCGATATACATAGAAATTATTGGGTGTTAAGAGTAGCTATAAAATCTTCAAGTTTCGTATACAGAACTAGAATCTTTTCTTATAGTTTCCATCACTATTTGGTATCTATCTACTCAAGAGTTTTCCCCTGTTTTAAAAGTAATTTGAAGCATTTTCTCTCTCTGTGAAAGGTAACCCCTCTGCTAGGTTTTCCCACTGACCTGTGTAAATTTGCCTTTGGCCTTCTCAAAGTCCGCGTGGTATTTAACGTTCGATTGGATTTTCGTGTTCTCCGCGATGCGCTTCAGTTCGGGCGTATCGGCAATGGCCGTTGCCTTGGCCTTCGGTATGTGTCTGCAAAAGATTTAAAATGTAGAAAGAGTTATACCAAGGGTTATAGATCAGCGTTAGAGGAGTTAACTAACATGAAGTTAGTGAGTGCAGTCAGTCAGTCAGTCAGATAAAGTTCATCATCAAATTCCATACCATTGCCGGTGGCAATCAGAGCTCAAGCTGGAGAGCTGCAGCTGCAGTTGGAGCTGAAGTTGGAGCTGAAGCTGTAAAATTCTCCACGCCAGCTGGCCAAGAGTTGGATTCAGGGAAATTCCGTTCAGGCGGAATGAGATGCAGAAGCTTCAGGGGGAAAAACTCCCGCACAGAGAGCATATCCATCTCCGATTTCATGTTGCTATTATTTTTCTTTCTTTTTTTTGGGCTTCGTGTGAAAACCTCTGACCTCGCTCTCAAGAGCTTTTTATCAATTAAAACACAAGCCAAGAGGCAGAGTCAGAGCTGCCTCTGCTTTGTGGATATTTTTGTGGCTTGATTTCGATTTGAATTTCCTTTTGTGGCCTTAAGCGAATAACGGCCAGAGATTTGTCTGTGGCCGAGAATGCAATTTATCAAAAGACTCGGGGAAAAGTTTTGAGGTTTAAGCCAGCCTTTGAGTTTTAAAGAGAGGAAAACCAACTTGTGGCTTAAATATGGGAATTAAGTTAAGATAAGCATCAATAAAGGTAAACTAAGTAGGTACTTCTTATATATATTTAAGGAATTTATTTGTTTTAAGCCTGCTACTGACATAATTAAATTTGACTGTAAATCAGCTAACATAACAAAAGATATATAATATGTTTTTGAGGGCATCCTTGCTCCTGTAAAACCCAGAATCTCTGATGTATGCCCATTGGACTAATTCATCAATTTAATTATTGACAGTTGAAAGGAATAACATGGCGCATTTCTGTTGTGCAAAAGTAAACATAATGAACAAAACAACATACGCAGCAGGACAGTTGCAGTTTTATAACCATAAATCCAGCGAAATAAATGGTCGATGACTCTCTTTGTTTTGTGGCCCTGGTAAGAGAGTGCTTTAACCTAATCGATGGATCGATCGATGGGCCAACAAACAACAACAACCACTGATAACCAATAACCAAGTTCGATGAGTTAGCGCCGTCGAGAGGTTGATAAACTCGTGACCATATAGTAGGCACCCTTTTTGGTCGATGTAACCGCCCAATAACCATATTGTAAACGTAATTGCATGCAAGTCTATTGGCTTTATAGAATATTTATGGGCATTTTAGCGAATGCTTCTCTAATCGTCTCTACAGCTGTGGCGCCCCATTGAAAAGACGAAATGCTGGGGGAAATGGAGGGAATGGAAATGGAAAATTGGTATGAGAATGTGGGGTGGTTATTAGTAGTAGTTCACCCACTGAAAATAAGCTGCAATCACTGTGGAATGCCACGACTGTCACACACGCACAACAGAGGTGACCATTGGCTTGGCATGTACTCTATACTATATAGAATAGCACTGGATAGTTGTTGATAGTGGCACAAGGCCGTTTAATGACCAAAGCGAATGAGCAGCAGCAGAATCACTGAGACGGACGCACCGATGCATGTAGGTCTATTTGCGAGCAACGGGCAACAACGGCAGCAGAAAGACTTAATCTAAGCCATAGAGGAAAAGCCACGACTTGTAGGATACCCTAGCTGATATAGTGAATGCTATTCAATGCAAAATGCTATCCCAATTAAAATAATAAATTAGTTGGCTTAGTTATGATCAGTTTCCACTTCGATTCTATCATAAATAAATTGTAATATAGCAGCCTTTATATTTTATTATTATTTTCTTAATATTTTTAACAAGAAATCCAAACATATAAGACGTTTGACAATTATTCGCTTTCTGACCTTGCCTTATCAACAAGGAAATCTAAAATATGTCCATTGTGGTCTTGGTCTTGAAATCTATATTTTTAATAGATCATAATTTTAGGGAAAATCAAAGTTAAAAAAACATCATAACTTAGTCAAAAATGCATTAAATTCAATTTGGAAAACTGTTCTATGCTAGTTTTTATTAAATTAGTAAATCTGCATACACAGTTATAGAATTTTAGGAAATTAAAATTTTTATACATTTTTCAAAATTTTAACGATGTAACACCTATAAAATTTTGAAAAAATTTCGAAAAAAAAATTTTTTTATCCTCAGATGGCTAGTTCGACTCGTCTGTTCATGCTGATCAAGAATATATATGCTTTATAGGGTCGGAAATGATTCCTTCATTATGTTGCAAGCTTCTTACTGAAATTATGATACCCTGGAAGAGTATAAAAATACCCTAATTTACCAAACACAAAACTTTAAAACAGCCCCTTCAAAATATAAATATATTAAGAACCCTGGACTACTCTGGGGTATTAGATAATTAAGAACGTAATTAATGGCTTTAACATGATTTAATGAGTTTGGGGAATTTCAGAAATTCCTTTATAGTCAAAGCAAAAGTATCTCGAAAAGGAAAATAAAAGTAAAGAGTATACAAAAGAGCAACCAATGCATTGTTGTTGTGGCCTGTGCAAGCTTCGCTTTACTTTGCTTTATCGTTCAATATGCGTTGCATGTTGCGTGTGTGTTTGTGTATCTGTGTTTTCCATAGATACATGATAGTGAAGAGGGGTATAGTTGGGGGTAAAGGGGGGTCAAAATAAGTACAAAGCCCGCACCGCAGAAAGCATCGTCCATTTTCTGCATTGCCGTTGCAGTCGGTCGGTCAAATTGCTGTTGTTGCTGTGGCACACATTGCTGCTGCTGCTGTTGCTAGTGCTAGTGTTGCTGCTGTTGCTGTTGCTGCTGTGTTGCTCGTGGTGCTGCTGCTACTGTTGCTGGTAGCTGGTAATGATGACATAACAATGCTTAAGCGCCCGGAGGCGACATTGGAGAGCAGCAGCTAGGCCACCACCATCACCAGCGGATGTCTCAGCACGTTCCCAATAGATCAGCAGCAGCAGCAACACTAGCAGCAACAGCAACAGCAGCAGCAGCAGCAGCAGCAGCAGCAACACTAGCAGCAACAGCAGCAGCAGCAGCAGCAGCAGCAGCAGCAGCAGCAGCAACAGCAACAGCAACAGCAACAGCAACAGCAACAGCAACACTAGCAGCAACAGCAGCAGCAGCAGCAGCAGCAGCAGCAGCAGCAACAGCAGCAACAGCAGCAACAGCAGCAGCAGCAACATGCATGTCAGCAACAACAATGCATGTGTATGATGCAATTCGTTGTTGTTCTTCCTTTTTTTTGTGCTTTACTCTTATTTTTGTATTATCAAAGAATTTTAATTTATTTGTAAACAATACACAGCAACAACAACAGGAAAGGAAGAGCGAGCTTGCAGTTCTGTTGGCTTTAAGGAACAACAAACGCCTCTTGTGTTGCTCATATTAAATTTAAAAAAATATATATCCATTGACCCATTTTTTGTGGCCAATATAATATGAGTTAATAAGAGTTTAAATTAAGTGAGGCTATGATAAACTGAAAGGGTTTAAATACATATTTTTAATGGGTATACTGGTTGGTTTTTTAATGCTTTGCTTTAATGTAAATTAATCTTAAAATTTAACTACTTTCTATCTAATGATATACTCAAAGAATCTATTACAAAAACTATATCAAAATTATCAAGTACTCCCCCTAACAAAGGGTATTTAAGAGTCTATAAAGTGATTTCCCCTTATCCTATGCCTGTTAATGATTTCCCCACACAAATTGCTGTTGATGGAAAGGAAGGAAGTAAGGATGAAGCTGCTCTGGATTCCTGGCCATCAAAACTGGACTACATCCATTCACAACCCGATGTCCCATGTCCAAGCGAACACACACACACACACACACACAGACACACCCATCAACTGGAAGAAGGAAAAACAGTTTGGACATTTATTGGATGTCAACATATTTTTCTGGTTTTTTTATACTGTTGTTTTTATACTCAGATTTCTTTTGTTTTTTTGTTGATATTTTTCTCTGCATATGGAACAAGCAATGCGCCGGCAATTGGTGTTGAGTTACAATGACAGTCTTTTGTTGTTACTGTCCGAGTTGTTGGGCAATGGATCAATGTAAAATATAAACATATATATATAAGGGAGAAAATGAAAATGATACGAAAATTGGTTTAAAGTTAATCTTTCGAGCTGCATTTAATTTTAAAAACATTTCTTAAGCTAACTCTTTTTAAAACAAGTAACAAAAAACCCTATTAAATAATAATTTCTTCAATTTGTTGAATGAAAAATGGCATAACTGAAAGAGAAATCATTTCACACATAATTTGCAAAAGCGTTAAAATTGAAATTAAATGATTGACCCAACCAAATGCGATTATCTTTTACACTCTCTGAACCATATTATTACTATGAATACATCATCATCGTCACGATCATCATTGGTATTCATAATCCGCTGCAGTCAATCAAAAAAGTGAACAAAAAAAACCGAAAAATCCAAACCACAGACGAGGGGAAAAGGTAACAGAGGGAGTGAGTTGTGTTATGTTTAAAACCCATCGCGTGTTTAAAGCTTTTAAAAATCCATATGCTAAATAATGGGTAATTGTTGACACCACTCCCCCTGGCTCTGGCTCATTTCGGTAGCTAACCCACAAAATGTTGTATTTAGCATAAAAATAGTGAATCACTGAGTCACTCTCTCTGACTCTTGACAGTCTGGCATAGTGACTGACTGGTGACCCAACTATTTTTTTGGTAATTGAAAAGGTTTTTGTTGGCATTGTCACTTTTGTTTTCTATTTTTGTGGGCGGCTTAAGTAATCAAGCCAAGATATGTATATATTCCTCATTGTTTGGCTGTTTAAGCTCCGCGTTATTCAAAACGAAAGTAAAATAAAAAATAAAATAAAAATACAACAAAAAACGAGATCTGATGCAAAATGAAATGAGAGAAGACTGGGAGGAAGAAGTTATGTGGCACACACAGAGAGGGCGAGGCTTTTGGTTGCACATATGGACATGGTTCACTGGGTTTTTATGTTAATAAATAAATGCCAATGATATATAACATATATGTGTATATATATATCAGGCTCACATCGAGCTCTGTTCAGCAGATGTCTTTTTTTCTACCCTTCTTTTTTATATGCAAAAAAAAAAAAAATAAAAAGCAAGCAAGACATTGTAAACATCTCGTTTTCTAGTTCAATTCCAACTAAATGGGGCCTGGTAATGTAATGTATACAAAATTGTATGAATAGAAGTTCCTCCTGGTGTCCTCATGTGTGTTGTGTGTGTGTGTGTTTGCCTGTAATGTTGGCATATCCTGGCCTGGCCTAAAGCCCCCATCCTTTAACTGTCCTGTCCGTTTGCTATCCGGATGTTGGCCTTAGGTAGACAACGACGTAAGACCAGGACCAGGGGAAAAGCTTCTTCTACTTCAAGATGCAATTAGGGCGAGGAGAAAGTTTCGTTTGTTGGAAAAGGAAATTTATCCATAAGTTGAGGCCAAGAGTTGAACATATCCTTCAGCTTTGGGGTTGAAAAGAAAGAAGAAAGAGCTAAGAATCTTATTTGAAATCGTCTTAAGACCAGCAAATAAATTTGATGAGAATCATTGATAGCAAAGTTCAAGTGATTTTTAGTTCAAATATCTTTTGTAAATCTCTTGAAATTGAATTTAAACTAACTTAACTAAACTAAACAAACTTTTGCTTATATACCTTTATAGTTTGACAGTGAATTTTAGGATCGAATCGGAAATTTTCGCAATATTTAAATCACTATTTATTAATATATTTATATGACAATGTTTAACGACAAATAAAAGTTTTAAAAACTCATAACTAAGCCAATGAAACATTAAATTTAATTCGGAAAGCAGTTCTATGTTAGTTTTTATCAGTTTTATAAATCTGCAATTTAAAATATACAAAAATTAAAATTTTAGTAACTTTAGTAAATTTCGAAAAATTGAATTTTTGACCTGACATGGCTAGATCGATTCGGCTGTTGATGCTGATCAAGAATATATATATTTATAGGGTCGGAAATAACTCCTTCACATCGTTACAAGCTTCTGACTAAAATAATAATACTCAGCAATTTGTGTGATAATGAGAGCATTTTAACTAACATTTAAAGTTTCCTTTTGTCTATAAAACAGAAGTACTGACAACTGTGTTTATCCAAACTTTTTAATTTAAAAACGTATCTGTAATTGCTCTTTTCAAAACACTATTCATCATCCTTTCAAGCTGGTCAAAGCTCTATTAAAACTCTAAATTAGAGGAGCCCCTTCTCTTCCAGAACACTCACTACTTCCCTTCACTTCACTTCCTTTCGTTTGGGCCATAACTTCTATGTGGCCCTCCAATCCAATTAACAATCAGTTGTCTGGCTCATATGTGGCCCAACTTTAATTGCACGTTTCCCTCATTTATCCTGCGAATGAACTTTATAATTTATTGCAATCGTGTTATCCCGCCACTGACCTCTCTACCCTCCTAGTTTTCTCCCAAGCCCAAGAAAATCTGAACGACTATGAAAAACTTTGTGTTGACCCGTAAACGGGATGGGAAACTATCTTTTTTTTATGTCTGCAGACGGAACTTAAAACTGAAAACAGAACACTGAACATAGAAGACCCCAAAGAATAACCGGGCCCAAAAGCAGCAGAAACTTCTCAAGCAATTATAAAATGCAAACCAAAATGTGGAAGTTCCAAGTCACCGCAGTTGTAAAATGTAAGAAAAACCAAAATAAAAGTTGGGCCCTATTTTCTTGCATACAAAAATACCCTGTAATCGAGAGTGATGGAAAAATGCATGATGAGGTAACAAAATGGGATTTGAATATGCAGAATTTAATATTGAGTCAAAAATATAATATTTCATATTAAATTTCCTATAAAAAACCTATTAAATTCTCTTGTAAAGATTGCTACTAGAATCTGTTTAGAAATCAGTCTAAGTTCTTTGTTAGAAAGGATTCAAAATCTATTAAAGAAATGTTTTCAAGATCTCTTTAATAGAACTCATTCATAAATCTCTCCTTTATTTTATTTTAAAAGATCTTATACCTGTTGTTTTTAATTCTCATCTTTAAACTTGTACTCAAATGTCTTCTTAAATATATCAGAGAAATATCTCCTTAACTCACTTTAAAACCCCTTTTTTTCAAATCTTCTTGAAGATAACATTTTGCCAAGTCTAGAAAACATGAAGCAAGTTCTTGTGAAGACCCCTTAGAGAATTTATTACCCTTTTTTTAAATCCCAGAAATACCCAGCACTAAAAATCTAGTTCGAAGACTGGCACAAATATAAAGCCGGATTCAAGTACGTGAAGTCACGTAATCGGGATGCAACTGGGATGGGACGTAACGTAACGGAACAGAACGGAACGGAACGGGACGTCTTGCGGCCGGATAGGTGCAAACGAGGACTGAGGAAATGCAGTGAAAGTGCCGACAGCGGAAAACGGGGCGTGACCGCTATCCTATGCTCTATCCATTTGCTATCCTTTCAAAGCACACACACACTACACATATGTAGCCGATTCCATTTCAGGATTTCAACGATATCAACGTGTATTTATGCAGGCGATGACATCAGTGGGAATTCGCACAAAAGGCAACCGAAGAAGGGGATAGGGTAGGGGATCACGACATGTGATACTCCTCGACAGTGGCAGCAGCGTTGGTTTCCCTGGGATCCTGGGGAGGAAGGCAGGGAGGACACTACACTGCGCAATGGAGCTAACGGACGCATAACTCAATCCGCATGGAATTTTTATTCCCGCAGCGGTGGCATCCACAATAAATCTGCATTAGACTAGCCGTCGCAGGACCGCATGCAGCACCAGGAAGGGGAATATCTTTTAACCCCTTTCACCGAACCGCCGCCCCTGGCTTTTGGCTCAAGGCCAGCAAATGCAGCCACGCACTGCAGCTAAAAAAAACACACACATAGATAAAAATAACGAAAAGGAAATTTTGGGAAGTTGGCCACAATACAAAGCTAAACACTTGCTCTCCTGTCCGCTTACCCTTTGTCCTGTGCTCCAATACATGTGTGTGTGACATTGTCTACAACAATGAACATGACAGGGGGAACCTACCCAGAGGGGCGTAGGCAAAGGGGTACATAGTAGTCAGTGGTGGCGTGCACAAGGGGGGCTTTACTTTGTGAGGATACTTCCCATGTGACACACATTCCCCAAGCGAATCGCGGAATGCAAAATCCGCAGTAGGAAACAGGAAAACGCTAAATGGCAGAGTTGAGTGACTAAGTTCTTAAATAAAAACTAGTTCTTTTGGGAATAATATAATTTGGGAAAAAACAACAAACAAAATATCTTCTTTAATATATCTTCTATTATCAATAATTAGTTTTACCTCAATAATCAATAATTAATCATCTACAAACATCAGATTCCCCTTATTCAATAAGCAAAATAATCAAACACTTCATTCTAATCATAATTTCCTCTATTAGCTGCTAATAACTATGTTATTTTAGGCCATAAACCAACTGTTACCAACTTTTGTTATCTAAAAAGCAATTTAACTAGTTCACCAGGTGAACTGAAATGGGATAAAACCCTTGTGGCCCACAACTGCATTTCCGCATTCCTTGGCCTCTGCTGCTGCACTTTTTTTATTATACTCCCTTCTGTGGGTGGGGGGAAAAGTTTCGCTGCAATTTTCCAGTGAATTTAAACGTTATCTACTTCCACTACTCCGCTGTACTATCTCCTCCTGGAGCGATTAGATAAACGACGCTAATGAAGATTGCCAGGTGAAGCAAATCAAGGTTGACCATCCTGCCTCCTCCCTCCAACTCTCTTCCCTGCGATCCATCACTTTCCGAGTGGGTGTGATAAGACTTAACGTGATTGCCCCCACTGTGCTCCACAATTGTTTGTCAGAGAGATTCCAGAATGCATATAATACACTTGGAGAAAAATATATTACCCATATTACCCATGTGTTAACTGAATCACTTATTATTTTACAGCCAGGCAGGCTGGGAATTAAGAAACTAAGCATAAATGGCCCTAAAATGTATCTACCTTAGTTTTTCTCGATAAAAACATTAGAAAAGAAGCATTAAATAAACACCAAATAATATGCATTCGAAAATTGTACAAATTTAAAAGGTTCTAGCCACGTAATGTGGATAAATGTATTTCTAACAACTGTTTAAAATTGTTCCATATCTTTTCTCCAAGTGCAAGGGCTTCATAGAAAGAGGGGTTTAGGGTCTAGGGATAAAAACTATAGTTAAACTTACGCCTCGCAGTAGGGCATTTTGTTGTAGCCCTTGTAGGTTTTCATATTGAGCGCCATGCCGCATTCTGTGCATTTGAAACACGTTTTGTGCCATGTCTGAAACGAAAGAAAGGGAGGAGAAAAACGTTGAATTACAAAATAGAAGAATCACAGAAAATTGTTGAGAATGCAATATTATTATTGCTATTTGTTGGTGTCGTTTGCTTTTGCTTTTGCTTCTGCTTTTGTGCTTATACTTGTGCTTCTGCTTTTGCTTTTGCCTCTGCTCTTTGCTGCTTTTGCTTGTTAGCCAAATTGGCGCAATGCAACCGAAAACTTTGGGCCAAGCCAAGCATAAGAAGCGTTTCGCTCTCAAAGGTTTTTATTTTTTTATTATTCTTTTGCAGATCCGTTAACTAGCAATTTATGCGTATATATTATTCTCCAAAAATTAATTGGTAAAGTAGCGGAAAAATAAGAGAAAGCAGATAAGTGCTTTAGAAATTTCTATAAACATATAACACAGAATCTAGAAATTCATTTATTCTTTGGAAACTATTAAATATGCTTAGTGTTCCGAGAAAGATTATGCTTCTAGTCTTATCAAATAATCCTAAATCATGTTAGATAAAGCCACTTTATTTAGTTTTTCTAAAACCTTAAGAAGCATCAAGTATTCTGCAAACTAACAAAGCTCTTTCCGCATATCTCAAGGCCCCAAAAAACTAAACGCTGGGATGAGTGTGAAGAATAAGCAGATATCTTAGTTAGTACCGTTCAGTTTGAGATAACTGGTTAGATAAGCCGACGGACTAAGCCAGACGGCAGATGAGAGCCAGACAAACAGACTTGGAAAATGTTGCGTGATTTGTGGTGACTTGGCAGCAGCAACAGCAGTTGCAGTAGGAATACTACTCCTCAGCCAGAGGAACTTCTGATGGAAGTGGCTTTGATAGCTCCTAGACACTAGACTTGAATGTGTTTGTTGGTTCTTTCGCCTTGCAACGCGTTATGCAAATTTTCCAAAAGAGGAAAGCAAAAAAAATATGCGAAAGAAAACCGCAATGGGAACCCCAGCATCTCACACACTACTCCTCATCTCCAGGCAGATCCATGGAGTATGGAGTCGTCAGACATTCAGTTGGGTTGCCTTGACGTGGAGGTCAACAAACGATTAACTTGTCTGCGGATTAGCAAGTAAAAAAAAGAGAGGACTTCAGAGAGGGAAAAATGCCTGGATGGGAGTACGAAATATTTCCTAATTGGTTTTCAACGCAGCGGCAACAGCAGCCGCTGGAAGCTGGCTAAAAGTGTTGGCCAAATACAACATGAAAACCCGTTTAAACAACAATTAAAAGTGTAGACACACAACCAAAAAATATATGCGATAGTTAATTGTTTGATGGAAGCCAGGGGTAAAAAACACCAAAAGAAATGAAATAAACTAAAAAGCAACGCCACACACATTCCATGGCCCGAAGAGAAAAGCTGAAAGCGAAACAATCTGTGACCCCCACTGAACTGAAACTGAAATAAATCATCGGATTTTTCTCTTCTGACCTCACTTTTTGAATCTGGGGCTTAAGCAAATGACTTTCCAGCTCAGGGCGCATGCGTAACAGGGGCAGGGGCAGAGGCAGGGGGCAAGGGGGTAGAAATTACGACTAATTGAAGAAATTCCGTTGCAAATTTCACTAATTTATGATTTTCTTTTAATAAACAAACATGCAGAGTAGGGGGTATTATATGAGTTTACAGAAAATGTGTATCTTCATTCTATAAATATAGATATTTTGATTCCCTGATGAAATCTAAACATACGACTCGATTTATCTGGTCTGTTTGTTTGCTATTTTGTTCATTTGGATGTTTATTTGATGTTCATTTCTATATTCATTTGGTTATTCATTTACTTATAGGTTGACGACATAGCTTGACTGCATGTCAAGTTTGCTCTGAATTTAAGCCACTATTTATAACAGATATTTCAACAGAAATCAAAAAAAAATTTATTTATGTTACTGTAGATTTTAAATTCTGTAGAAATTACATAAATTTAAACTATCAAACTCTTTGATACCCTTGTTATCTCTCAAGAGTATATATCTGTTGACATCCGTAGTACTGAATGTTTATGACTGTATTTCCGTTCAGCTTTATTTAAATTTGTTATTTGATAACCAGTGACTTATGGATAAATATTTAATTTTAAATACATTTTCTTATCTTTTATGATCAATAAATATGCCATAAATGTGACAGATATTCGTAGAAATTAAGAGGATTTATATGAAAATTGTCAGAGTACTAAGAATTGGAATCGGAAATAAACTAATATTCTATGGTTCAATATTTATTTCTATTGTATTGTATTGTAATCTTCTGAATTGTTTTTAATAAAATACATTATTTTTTTAAGAGTATTTAAAGTCACTAAACTCTTTGCTGTGATTTTTCAAGCTGCTTGACCACATGAAAATTTCAATTTCATTTTCACTTTCCCAACGAATGCAGTCGAGTTTGTTGTGATTGTTGGATGTGCATATGTAGTATATATGTATATATAAAAATATATATATAAATGCATATAGTGAGGTAATCTGTCTGTCTGCTGGTCAACAGCAGTTCGTCTCCCCCGGAACCAACAAACTACAACAACTTGCCTTCAGTTTCAATTTTCTATGCTCACTTTAACCCAGTTTTTCACTTTTTTTCCTCCCCTCCCCTCGACTTTTGCCTCGCTTCTCGTCTTGATTTTCAATTTGCGGCTCAATTTTCAAAAAAACAAAAAGTTAAACGTTTCCTCTTGTACTTTTACGTTTTGTTTCGTTTTATTGCTGGGTTATTTTTTGTCAACCACGACGGAACGGCGACGAGGTGTTAAATTTGCATTCGAATTTGCACGCTTTCAACGTATTTTTTTTGTCGACGATAAAAACAATTGGCATGAGCCACGAAATGGCCAGAAAACAACCAAGGGACGGGGAATAGGGGCTGGGCAACAGGAGAATCTCGGATTACCATGGCAAAACCAAACCAAACCGAAGCCAACACACAAATGACAAATGAGGGCAATGAGCAGGCAACAACAAAAGGAAACATAAAAAAAATAAAATTAAATAAATAAAATTAACAATACAAAAAAAAAACAAAAGACTTGAAGTGTCACAGCGATTTCTTCAAATTTGCATAAGGAACTAAAAGTGGAGCAGTGGGAAATGGGAGCAGATACATTACATTTGTTGTTAATACATTTTTGGCAATGTTTTTAGTGTTTTTTACAACTATTTTGGAGTTTTCTTTTCTTTCTAAGAAGTTCTCATTTTCAACTTTATTGAATTTCCAAAGTTGACTCATCCTTTAATTCAAATTTAAGCATCTTAAATCTCTTTTAAACTCAAAGCTTGAAATGCTATTGAAATCTTTACCTTGTGTACAATATTTTCCTTTACAAAATACAACAATTGACAACGAAACTGGTATTACACTACAATATAAGATAATTAATAGGTTATAAATAAAAATAAACAAGATTATTTTTAACAGGGCCCTAAATAAATTTTCTAAAACAAATTAAATACACATAAAAGACTGTTTTAATATCCCCTTAAAAGGTATTTACATTTTAGTCAAAAGCCTAAAACACTGTGAAGGACTTATTTCCGACCCTATAAAGTATATATATTCTTGATCAGCATCAACAGCCGCATCGATTTAGATATATTTGACAAAATTTTAATTTTTTTCAAAAATTTCAAAATTTTATTATTTAAAATTGTAAAAAAAAAAATGGAAATTTTTTTAAATTTTTAAAATTCCTAACTGAGTATGCTGATTTATTACCCTAATAAAAACTAATATAGGACAGCTTTCTGAATTAAAATTAATGCTGTTTTGACTGAGTTATGAGTATTTGAAATTGTGATTTATCGAAAAATTGTCATATTCAAATATAAATTGAAAAATTGGGAATATTTTAAGCTTATTTATGATCGGTTTCTGATTCGAACCTATAATTCATTAGGGAACTCAAACTTGGAGTTCCCAAAGTTAGTTTTCTTTCTTATTATTAAATAAAATATTCATAATTCATTTTTACTAACTTTAAAATCTTTTGTTTCAAAGAGTGTTTCAAGTCTAGTTTCTAGATTCTTTACAATCGGTTCCAAGCTTCCAGCATAGTTTTGAGTATGCCACATTCTCGAGTGTATTTCAAAAGCAAATTGTCAAAAACTTTGCTCGGACAATAAACACTTCAAATGCCAAACGGCAAAAGGCAAACACGAGCCAGACACGAGTGCAAACTGAAATCCAGATTCGCATTGTTGTTCAGTTGTTGTTCTTTTGGCAGCTTCAAAAAGCTGCTCAGGAGAGAGCTCCAGCTGGTTCCAGCTTCAGCTTCAGCCCCTCTTTGTTGTGCCTGTTATTTTTTTATTTTTTCTGGATTTTTGGTTTTTGTTCGCCGGTCACCAGCAAAAAGCAAAAAAGCATTTAAACAATTCTATGCCCATTCAGCGGGAGAGAAGCCTTTGTCCAGACAGAGAAGTGTGTGTTTGCCTCATTTTTTCCTTAAGCTTAAATTAAAGATCGACGAATGGAATGGGATGAGATGAGAAGCTGAATGCAACGCTTAAAATGCTGTTATTTATGCTTGTATATAGCCGGTACCGTTATGAGCCATCAACGGAATGAAGTCCAAGAAGTAGAACTAACTCTCCTCCCTCCTCCTCCTCCTCCTTCTCCTTGGACCAACTTTACATAAGATATTAATCATGATTTAGAGACAAGTCGCTCTCTCTCTCTCTGTCTCTCTGTCTCTCTCTGTAGCTTCCAAGCATCGCAGTTTAATCAAAACAACAGCCAAAGAAGTAAAGAGAGAGAGAGAAACCATCAAAGTGGAGAAAATAACAAGCAATAGTCAAGTTGTTGGGGAGTTGTGAATGTTGAAAAAATATTCATACTTCATACAGTTGTCATTCGAATGAGAGAAGTTTTAAGCTTTAAGTTTAAGCCATACTTTAAACAGAAATAACCAGAAGTTATTGATCTATTTCTTATTAAAAATGGTTAACGAAAGCTCTGTAATAATATTTACAATAAATGTTAATAATTGTTCA